CGAAGTTTCTCAAGAACCATTCGAGCCACAGAATTCGTTTTGGCATCGTTGGATAGAGAATTGAAAAGTCGATTCAGTCGTAACAACGTTAGTGAAGTTCGAGTAGTTTTGACCCAGAAAGCGAAATTTGAATATCAAACACTTAGGTGCCAAAATTTCATGTTTTCCGTCCCGTTTTGCTCATATCTCGGAGGCAAAATGAGCAAGAACGCTCATTTGTACATCATTCTAGAGAGAAGTAAATGGCCTTTTTAGAAAGTAAACCATGGATGGGGAAATGTTGGCAGTTTTCTCAAAAAAGGCTTGAATTCACGAAGTTTCAGATTTGCAAATCCACTTGAACATGACGGTGCTTTTTTCGAAGTTTCTCAAGAACCATTCGAGCCACAGAATTCGTTTTGACCCCCTCCCCCTGGATCCGCCCTTGGATTCACACTCCAGATGTGTCTTATTTTGTCTTTCTTTGATTATTGATATTACTAAAGTTGTTAGGCCCTAAAACTATGTGTGAAACACATGCATACAGGGTAATTTGAAATTGGCCTCATTCTTCTGGGGTTGGTTATGGAGTACAGGAGAAATAGTAAAAAATTAATTCTTACGCAAACCTGAGGATAATGGCAAAAAACATTTTTGCCACTTTGTATTTTCCTCAAAAAAATGTAGAAGAGACTTTTTTAATGCCAAAAAAAATTGATAATTTGGAGTCAAATCGTATTTGTTTATTTCCGATGCGTATTAGTATCCCATTAGGCTACCAATCGAACATGGAAATAATATGTACTTCTTAACAAAGTTGCCATTTTGGACTGGAAGATGTATTTTTTCTCGACAGCCTTTAAGATAACTTAAAGGAGGACTTAAGAAACTCCTGGACAAGGCGTTTCGAAATATTCTCCATGCTTCTCTGTTTTGCGCTTTGAAACCAGTTTTTCTGGCTACGTGTTTAATTTCGTCTAGCCATCTCTTTTGTGGGCTTCCCAAGCCCCGTTTAGTTTGTCTAGGCCGAGAGGTTAACATTTTTGTGTTTCACTTATTTTTTGATTCTGGCTACGTGTTTCGATTTTGCTTTGTTTTCTAATGTCCTCACTGGGAACTTTATCCCTTAGTGTTATTGCTCTTTCCAATACCCGTTGTGTTGTCGTTAGTTTGGATAGCAGCTCAAAGTTTAGTCTCTCAGGATGTATCTAAGATTTTCAAGCGCTGCCCAGGCTAGACCTACAGTTTTGTCTATCTCAGTTAGTTGCTTATCTTTAACTAGTTTAATGGTATAAAATATTTGTTGACATGTTCTTTTACTTGGTTGTTCACTACTACCTCTATTTCACTGTCGCTCATAATCTTTGTTTTATTTACAGTTCTATGGTTCTGGATGTGGTGTTCAGTTGTTCAAGCATCCTGCCATATCCTTTAGTTCATTTATTTCACTCGAGATCAGAACGATGTCATCGGCAAATCTCAGCTGACTCAGTTATGATCCATCTACTTTAATACCTGTTTGGTCCCTTTGTAACTGTTTAAATTCATTTTCCAATACCAAGTTAAACAACTTCGGGGATATAGGATCACCTTGGCAAACACCATGTTCAACATGTGTGAAAAGTGAGCCCTTATAACCCCTTAAAAGGAATGACGCCAATTTAAAATCACTCTGTGTGTGGTTGCATTCTGATTGATGGTACCGCCTGTTGAGACTCCTGCAGTTCTCAAGTAGTGGTCAATAAACATACTGTTTATCGTGATAACGGCCTTGGACTGGAGTTCTTTTCCTGAGGCAGTAAAATCTTCATCGACCACGTTTGAAAACATCGACCGGTGAAAATCGCTCTACTGCAAAAAATGAGAATCGAAAAGAAAGTCAACCGCGAAACCAAGAAAATAACTAGCAAACTAACGAGTCATTCGGACAAATAGTTTAACTTGTCGAACGTCGATATCAAAGCCTGGCTGTACTAAAAATAAAAAACCTTAGGGCGATCACCTGTAGCTAACACATGCGAATAGTATTACAGAGGAAATAGTATACAGGTACTAACTATACACAATGATAAAGAATATAATGAAGCAAAGTAACTAAAAAATAAACTCAAGAAAAATCCACAAACAACCTAAACGAAAACACCTAAGTGAAAAAAGTATTAAAAACGTTTTCAAGAAACACATTTTTTCGCTAAACTTTCATCATTCTGTTATTTACTAATAACCATTGAAAAGCCTCTTGTTTAGAAATATGCGGACGGTTTTCTATCGAAAATTTAATACCCTAAGATTACTGGACAACATTTTGTATCGCTTTTAATTGATCGTTTGAACTGAATACTAAATCAAAGAATGATCTTAATGTAAAAGTATAAAAATATGGCAAACATGTATTATGACAACAAGCTACAAGCAGAATCTTGACTAATTAAATGTTTTAAAAGAATATATAAGAGATAAACATTCACAGGCCAACAACAGACTTAGCAGTGACCAGAACCTATAATTCCAATATCTATTTAATATGCAAAAGTTTTTTGTTAGTTTGATTGGTACTGGTATAAGACCCACTTCGTCGTCTTAATTATATTTCTGTGGCGTAGGACATAAGCTATTAAAGGGCCAGTATATCAGATGATTCTAAAATTTTGAGCGCCATTATTGTAAACGGGTTTCCTAAGATTACGGATTTTTTTTTAATACAACTAAGTTTATATTTGGAAAATATTAGCTCTTGAAGAAGTTTAATTGTGATGGATAAGTGGAGGAATAGCGAATGGTTAAACTTCGCCTTTGCGCGACCGTTGAATGTGTGTTGTGCATTCTAATTTGTCTGCATGTATTAATAAAATCGTTATCTACTTATTTATTAATTGTTTAAAATAATGTTAACGTTACAAAATATTTATTGTCAGTTATAATAAATGTTATTGAAATCTTAAAATGTAGGTAAACAATACAGTTTGTGTATTGCTTTCTATTCTAATGCATGGTGTTATTTAGTACAAGCATTTTGATTATTGTGAAAAAGTAGACGCGGCCTCAACTCAATTGCTGATCGCTGAGCGCAGTACTCATGAAAAACGAATAATGCTGTTTACAGTTTGGTATAAACCAGCAGCAACAAGGATGCAAATCCATTTAAAAATTTCGCACAATTTTTTCTTCATGAAATTATGGTTTGAAGAAAAGCTTCGTTTCGAACGTTTTGTCCACTTTCCGTTAACATCAAGCTGTGATACGAGATCCATAATATTTTGAGAGCTGAAGCTGACGATGAGAATTTCTATGATAAAATATGTGTAATAAAAATACCTACCCATTGATATTTTCGAATTATTTCTGTACTCCTTAAATACCACATCCAACAAACCCGAAGGAATCATACCAACTCAAATCACCCCATATTTCGATATTTTCCATAATGTCTTTGCCTTAAATTGGTACAAACAGTCTATATTTACATTTCGCACATATCTTATTTGCTGTCGATTAAAGGCAATTTGAAAATATCCACAAATTGTAAAGCAATTTATAAACAAATTTGTGAGAAGTTATTCCGCCAATTTTGCCATAATTAGACATGCTGAAACTCGTTTCCAAGTGGCTTAGAATTTCTATATGTTTCCGCTTCACTAAAAATATTTAATCAATATCAAAGTTTTTATTACATTTCAATATACTTTGGCAATATTCCCTGGAGTTATGCTTAAACTGAACTTCCTTTCTCTACAGTTCATCTAGGCATACAAAACTTAAAGCTCTGCAGTTAACTGATTATAAATAGTTCACTACTCAATAGAACTTTATGCACTCGATGAACATCGTCGGTATATTGCAGACAATCGATATTGTACTGCATAACAATATTATTTTTAAGCAGATTTCCAGCAATTTAAAATATTTTCAAAGGAGAAAATTTAGCCACATATGACAATAATCACAGTTTAAAGTTTTTAAAAGAAGCAACGCATCATTAACAGCCAACATGTTAATTCTAAAATGTAGTAATAAGCGTGGCATTTTAAACAACGACTTTATGACTTTGTGCCACTTATTTTTAGCAATTTTAAGTACCCAAAAAGCGAGAAAAATTACGGACGTATTTATACAAAAATAACCTTCTTTCTACTATTTCACCAAGAATATAAGTATTTCGCTCTGATTCATCTGAAATATTAAGTATTTTATAATAAATCGAGAACTTCTATTTTATAATGAAACGAACATGTAACTTGGTTTAGTTATTTTTAACGTAGGTATACCAGTTTTATATAAAGTTATGAGTTCATTGAAACAATTACATATATGCAAACACCTTGGAGTTGAATCCAAAAACTGAAACAAGTAAGAATTCAGAAAATGTCCGTGTTGCCCGAAAAGAAAAAATCAAATATGTCAGAGCGCTCTGCGCTATTTAATCTTGTAATCGTTTAATAATATCATCTAGTAATCGCTACTTTCTGTAGATTAGATATAGATTGAGATAGATGTAGATATAGATTTGAAATTGTTATGTATCAAAAAAAATTTTTTTGGTGGTAACATTTCATAAAGCTATCAAGAATCAAAACAATTTACAAGTACAATTTATTTCAGTCATATTTCCTGTTCCTAGTAAACCAGACGATTCACTTAAAATATATCTTAGCACATGAGGATGAAGAGTGAAGATGATGCTTATCAGATTTAATAATAATTAACTCATAAGATAGATTCAAAAGGGTAGTTCTCATTGTTGAAATTCTCAAATCCAGGTACTGTGGGTGCTGAAAAGTTATTCCATCTATATTTACACTATACTCTTCTTAAAGAACAAATACTTTGTTTTATAGAGAACTTTTTTCAGCTTTAGTACAAAATAAAATATAAAATTCAAACTTACTGTCATACATCGAAACATTCTGTTCATCGTAGAACTATGTGGATCAACAGTCTTCAACAATCTTCAGAAACAAATATACCACTCACTCATAAAGTCAGCACAGCGATACGAAAAATTTACTTATAACACAAGTTCAATGTCATTAACAACACAAACGCATTAAGTGCGAAGATGGTTCTGTAGTCGATGCACGTCTTCTACTAATACTCGCGGAATCAAACCAATTGCGGATGGTCCGACTAATCAGGATTAAAAACTCTTAAATGAAAGTACAACCGAAGACGATACATTGCAAGCTGGTCAACCGGTACTCTTGCCGTGAATTGATTAACACAATATTTGCAGGATAGGTGAATGTTCTTCGGATGTTGCTTTGGTGTTTATTGGAACGATACCGTGATTAAGAAAAGGAACAGGAACTAACGTTTATTTATAAATGATTATTGTCTAAGTGGATGCTTAAAAAATCGAATTTTTTACGTTATTGGAAAAATTGGTTTCATGAGGTGAGGTATTCTTATATTGCCACATTCTGTCATATTTATTTAATGCTGCTAGAGAACATTTAATAGGACATTTTGGATCAATTTCTGCAATCAGACTGCAGAACAATAAAACCATTCAAAAATGATGAAAAGTTCAATGTACGAAAAAGGACCCTTTTTGCCACGAGAGCTACCATAAACCAACGTGCCTTAGCTCTTAATACTTATAACGTCATACTTTAATAAATTTTATATTAAAATAAGCAATTTTTTTCTTTCCTTCAGTTTTGTATATTAATGTCAGCCAGCCATTTTCAACCACTTGTTGAAGCCAAATGTTTGTTATTTAGCAAATAACGCCCGAGACGCCGACTTAAAAAATATCTAGACGGATTCAACCCTGCTTTAATTTCAAATACCCTCGCATTATTATATACAAATTAGATCAAGTGGTGTACAATTAGATAAATCTTTTGTCCGAGATAGCGAGTTTTGTAGGTACCGTGAAAGTAAATTTTCTCACACATTTCGATATTTTTTAAGGTGCACAAATACAATCTTGCCGAAGTATATATTTTACCCTCCTATACAACATCGAGCATTATATGCTAGACAATTATTTTCCGTCGATTCAAGCATATTTTTGCAAGAAAACGTATTCCCAACTCTAAAAAAATTGCCAAAAAGCTGATCCGAGAACTCGTGCCAAAATAAAGCGACTGGAACGGCTCCTAATGAAACGTGCAGATTGAATGTGAATCTTATCTTTAAATCACTTTTGAACGACACAAAAAGCAAGTTTCCTATTTCGTCGGAGTAGTGAATGCGGATCTAACCATGTCTCTACACAACATTTCCAGCTGAAAAGACTCAAAGTTTCATAAAAATCGAACAACAGTCCAAGCGTATTTAATTTAGCATGAAAAAGTCTATTCCGCTCCATGATTGAAATGTCCATATATGGCTGGAAAACCTGTTTTGTTCAAGGCGACCATCCAATCTAGTTTGAACCAGAAACTTGCGATTGAAAATATTTTAACAAAACAGTCAACAATAAAAAAACTTAAATCGAAGTGCAAATCTAATGACTTATTGCGAGTCATCCAAAGGGCGATCAAACAAACGCGTATATCATCACGTTAATTCTATAGTTCACTGCCTTCGGAAAGTGATAAAAGCCTCAATATAGCTTGAGTTTTTTGTGGAGAAGGTGAGTAAATATTCAGTTTGGTGCGGAAAGTGAACAAAATACGACGTTCGTCTTTTGTTCATGGACAGCATATACAGGATGATTTGGTGCCAATAAGACAAGTGCGCTATATTATTCGCTATCTGCTAACTGAAAGATTTAAATTTTAAATTCAAACTGGATCTTTATTGTTTGTTCCAGTGTAATGTGAGTTTTTTAGGGTTAATGGGTCGAAAATGGAGGATGGGGAGCCGGCTTGCAGAACACTGAAAGACATGAATTCTAATCTATAAATCATTTAGCTTCAACTGAGTTTTCGAGACACAACTGAAGTGGAAGGCATTTATTATTTCTCTTCATTTAATACTGGGGAGTCAAAAGAACAAAAAAATCATCGTTTATTTAAAAACAATACTTTAACAAAAAATATATTCTAAACACGATTTATAATATATAGATTTGTACAATGCTCAAATATTAGCCAACTTTAAAATACCTACAATGTTTCTGACAAATTTGTCAATTATATGATAAACTTTACAAAAATATACATAGTGTTAAAAAAAATATCTTTATTGTTCAATGAGGGTAACACAACACTCGTCTTATCACATTCAACCACATGGTAGCGAATTTTCTGAAAATGTAGCAGGAAGGCATTGCAGTTATTGAAGACTGTAAGTCCGAAACTGATATTGCCTCCCGCTGTTTGTGCACATATGTGTACTAGTAATAAGCTGTGCCACCAACCTCTGTTGCATGAACACTGTTTGAGTTATAATAAAACAAAAAACCATAGAAAGTTTGAAGAAATGTATCTACATCGGAACATACAAACTGGACAATTTCACAAAAACTAAACACGCTCTAATTATAACCAAATTATCGTAAAATTAAAGTAATCCAGTGCATAAAACTCAGCATAGCTCGCATGTTTCGAATTACTAATATCTATTGCTTATCAATTAACATCCAAACACATTTCTCGTGTGCAAATATACAATTACATAAATTCTCATGAACTTAGCGTATAAAACCCCATGCAAAACTTTTTCACAATACACAAATCAACCATATCTGCAATATTTTATAATTAGCGGTATAAAATAGTTCCTTCGATGGTCATCACTGCATTTTTAATTAAGCATGTACTACCGACAGCAACAATACAATATGTAACTTCCAAATTAAGATAATGGTGTATGGAACCCAAGTACGACCTTGCTTGGTCAATATATGGATGGAGTGGAAACGAAATAGTTGTAATAATTGACGAAATAGCGAAAATGCGAAGCTAACTTTTGACTGGCTGAGTCTTGAAATCTGATTGTTTTGCCATTCGACAGTTCCCTCTTCTATGAAGAAATACAGAGAAGTTCTTCTCTGATGCGAAAACCATCAGCGTTTTGAATCTTTTCAAATTTGTAAAAGTTGCTATTTCTTTTTCAATGTTACGTTATCTTAATGGGTAAGCCAACTTTTCTTCAGCACTTTTCGGAAATTTTACGAAATTGGTTTCAGATTTTCTGCAAAACTGATCAGGGTTAAACCGCGAAAATTATCTGAACTTGTTCTCATCTAGTTGTAAACAGTCAGCTATAAGAAGATCGAAATAGCCTTCTTCTGGACGACTTTGAAATATAGCGTGCGTCTCATGTTTTTTTAAGGAAATATTCTTCTTTTTCCTACCCATCTAACAAAATAAAAGTTAAACTTTCACGTCGTCCATCTTTTCAACGGTTTTTCTCAAAACTATTTCACGAATTGCTCTCTTAACGCTATAAAGGCATCACCTAAACCACGCCCCGACTGCAACTGCGACTGCGTCCAAACGCAGCACCGAGTCGCCGATCGCACCACGAAACCACACCTTTAGCAAGCACGAAGCCAGGAAAGATGAGTGGAGTTTAGTGGGTAGGATTTCTACTACACTCAAGTTCACTGAAGCAAAAGAATTATAAATTTTAGTCAGACTATTTTTTGATGGTTCAAAAAAGACAGTTTCTTGCTTATTTTTGTGATTGCTAGTTTTCAAACGCCATGCACGTCTGAGAAATCGCATTTCGTATGCGGCCAGTTCAAAAAAGCATGTTTGAAATTCAAATGAGCCAAAATCAAATAATTTGTTGGGAAGAATGAAACTCGATTTTGCTCAAAAACGGTGACTTTAAAGTTGAGCAAAAATACCCATTTTAACTGAAAAGCTCCAAAGCTGATTATGTAAATAGCTGACGATGGATTGTTCCATTCGCACACCACTGCCACACCAAAAAACTTTTTCCTTTACAATCGGGCTTTCCTAGGCTTTAAAGCACTAGTCCCCCACATTCTCCGACTATTTTTCACCGAGAATCAAGAAAAACTTCACGCAATAGCCTTCGACTTTCGTCTCTTGTACCGTAATGTATTGTTTTTCTATTTACTTGTTGATTTCACCATGCTGTTCACATAGTTTTTTACAAAATACCTGTTTTTTGTAAGCATTATTGTCTTACAGTTTTTTGTTCACGATATTTTGAATTTATGTGAATTTTCAATAATCCCGCATTAAAACCAAATATTTGGATTAATACGTTGAGACCGCAGCCCATTTTTTGCTCCCATTTATCGGCAACTATTCGACAAAATTTACTTATATTACAGTAAAAAGCAACACCTTTATTAATAGGATAAGATCGATTAATATTGTAAGAACAGCACTTCTTTATTAAGAGAGGATTCACTTAGATGAACCGACATTAGATCAATTTGCATGTTAAATAGCGCAAATGGTATTAATTTGAAGGGCAAAGTAGTAAATTCAGCTCGATGCTGGTTTCAGTTACAAAACTTAATTCATATTATTGCCATTTCTCAAGTAAAAAGGAAAAATGATTAAAGTAGAGTGGCCAAAAGACTGGCTCCTATTCATTTTTTTTTCATTTAAAATAAATTAAGTCACTAAATATCCTATTGGTCCCTGTGTCACTATTTGGAAAACACAATTTATAAAATGTGGAAAGAGGAAGACAATACATACATATAGCACAATATTAAAAACACGATAAAAAGAAATGTGAAAGATACCCTGCATCAATGTGACCACAGAAGGAGACTGAATTTTTTGTATCGGCCAGAATTCAAATCTTGCATGTAGATATTTTACATGGGAAATAACTACACGTTGATTGCTGATTTTAGCCGTTTTTCATTTCTGCTTAGTGTTGTCAATTCACATTTTATTATAATTCGAGTTTTGGGAAAGCAAACCATATGTAAAACTGCATATTACATTTAACACTTACTACTAAGCTCATAATGACTTATAATTAGTTTTACATAAATATAATCAATTAAATACAATGGTCTACATCTATTCCTCATAGAATATAAAATACTTGTTATAATAGACGAGACAATTCCATTAAAAAATCTTACACAACACTATAAAAGTCTTATTACTGTTCATCTGACTCGGGAGTCAGGACTACTTCTATCATAGATAAATCAAGCATATGGCGTTGATATTTCTTAAAAAACGCGTGTGCGGACGCAACGCTTTTGAAAGTAATGGTTGCATGACGATCATTTTTATCCCTGTGCAGCTTCTGCAATTAAATCATACATTAAATCTAATCTATTAACATCCACGTTAACATTTTATTAATCTAGTATCATATTAATACTTTTGTATAAAGTGTAAATCCGAGGCTCACCAAACTCGGTCAAACCGACCGCAAGTACCTACGCAGATCCCCAAGAGTTGCTATAAACAAGTTATAGATCCGGACAAAAACTAGCATTCAGGAAAACAGTATACCGACAAAAAGTATTAATATTAATCAAACTGTTTCGGAACTGTATCAGATGGGGCAGGCAGTTGTTTAATCCAAAGTACCCTCAAATATTTAGTTTTATTTTCTAGAATACAGCTAATGCCTTTGAACACTAAATACTCTATGTGTTATTCAGCAAACAGTATCAAGCAGGCAAATAAAGAACTTCTAATTAATGGTCTGGCGCAAAGTAACAAAACTTTGAACCAGCGTATAGGTCTCACTTGCTCAGTTTGGTGCAGCCCCGCCTGAAGTCTAAAATAGGGTCGTTGCACAATTTTTTTATTTGGAAAAATTGATTAATGACGAACAAATAACGGCCCTGCAGTTTTTTTCCTTGTTCTGCCTAGCCATAACGAATTTATCAGAAAAGAAATGGAAATTGTGGTTGAAAGCAACTACACTGATGTTTTTCCAAAAAATCACATTTATATTTGTGAGGATCATTTTGAGGAAAGGTTACAAAAGTATGTGCGTTAAATTTAGATTGTCACCTTTGTTTTGTTATGTGCAATTTTTGCTTATTTTATTTCACTGCTTGAAAGAGACATGAACAATTTTATGAGTGAAAAATGATGGGAGGACGGAAAAGAATTAAAAAAGATGTTGATCCACATAAATTTGAGTGTCAAAAAGATAGAAAACGAACTACTGACCCTCCTGTACGAGCCGTAGTTTTGAAACGAAATAGAATTAACATTATAAAGGACGATTTACATGCAGACATAGGTTTTTAGTAAATCTAAACTTAACAACTGAAATGTGAGATAACATATCAGAATTTTCAGGTGGCATGTGTGAGAGTTCACTCCTTTTAAGTTCAGAAAAAAAGATTAAAATTTAATGAAAATGATACCAATGCGGAGCACAAGCAATTTGCATTAAAGCACACTT